CCCATTAACTCTTTTGAGAAACCTATTTTTATTTTTTTCTCATTTTTGTGATATTATGAGAAGTTCAGCAAGTTTATTTGCAGGATATTGGGTATAAATTTCTCATTTAGACTGCATAACATAAATTGTAATTCAATATACTGAAGAATTGAGTATTTTTTAATTTTTTGTAATATATACTGAAGCCAGTATAACCAGTGGGAAGCTTTTAATTCTCATTATAGCTACTGACTACATATAATGACTTATTCATTATTTCTCCATAAAAACTTAAGTGTCAAATACTAATTTATATGTAAAATAATACAGGTAAACCTTTGATCTTAGGTATTCATAATAAGGCACTGTTATTTTATTAATCTAAAACTGAATATTCTCTAAATGCAGATTCTTCAAAATTTACATTGAAACTGCATCAAAGCTGCATTTATTTTAAGTCTTATTAATTTTTTTTGCATATAAATGGAGACTATTGTTACCTTTGGTGTACCTTATATCTAGACCACACAGCATCTTACTTCTAAAGTCACCTTGTATGCATCTAATACCTAAACCAGTAATAGGTACTTATGGTATTTAATATAAATAAAAGAAGAATGTGTCTATGGGACACAGATGGCCCAGCTTGTAAATATGCAAGGTCAATGTACTAATTCATACCTATTGACGTTTTGTTTTCTATGAAACTTAACGACATTAGTTTCTGTATGTTGTCATTAGAGATTACTCAGGGATTTGAGTGCTCTCATTGTTCAATAACAAACAGTAATGGGGTAACTCTAGAACAGTGAAATATGCCACCCAAATTTGAACTTGATCTGTGTTTGATGGTAATAAGCATTTTATATAAGTCTCAGAACATTTTGTTGTGGCAAAGTAAAGTAAGTGTGTGGAAATTCACCAATTTTTCAATTTATAAAGGGACATAACTCAAGAACTGTGAAAGTCACACAACCCAAATTTGAACTTGATCTGTGTGTGGATGTAATAAGCATTGTATGAGGAAAAGTGATTTAACACTAATGTATGCAGCACTTCTTTCAATTTAAAATGTCATAAATAATAATGACTTCAGACAAAAATATATATAAGTAAATGGGGAATGTGTCCATGGGACACAGATTATGCCCCCGCTTCCATATCTAATAGTTATAAAGGGATATAACTGAAGAACGGTAAAAGTGATGCTACCCTAATTTGTACTTGATCTGAGTTTGTGGTAATAAGTATTGTGTATATATAAGTTTCATAACATTTGGTTGAGGCAAACTAAACTTAGAGAACGGAAACGAAAAATTCAGCAATTTTTATGTTTATAAAGGGGCATAACTCAAGAACTGTAAAAGTGACACCACCCAATTTCAATCTTAATCTGTATTCTGTGGTAATAAGCATTGTGTATAAGTTTCATAACATTTGGTTGAGGCAAACTAAAGTTAGTGAACGGATACGAAAAAATTCAGCAATTTTTATGCTTATATAAAGGGGCATAACTCAAGAACAGTGAAAGTGACACCACCCAATTTCAAACTTGATCTGTATTATGTGATAATAAGCATTGTGTATAAGTTTCATAATATTTGGTTGAGGCAAACTAAAGTTAGAGAACGGAAACGAAAAATTCAGCAATTTTTATGTTGATAAAGGGGCATAACTCAAGAATGGTACAAGTTACGCCACCAATTTTCAAACTCGATCTGTGTTTTGTGGTAATAAGCATTGTGTATAAGTTTCATAACATTTGGTTGAGGCAAACTAAAGTTAGAGAACGGAATCCAGCTTTGGGACATACAGACGGAGAAGGATAAAACTTAATGCCCCCTCCGCTGCGGTGGGGGGCATAAAAAACATTTTTAAAAATCCAAAGATGTAGTAAGAAGAAGAAATGTTTGAGGTTGAATGTTTAGAATGTTTACTAAGAATAAATTTTATTTGTATTAAATCTATATCAGTTATCATTTTGCTTTTGATCTAGAAAGTTGTTATAACTTAAAAGAATCCAAAACATGTACAAGAATTCAGAGGTAAACTTCTTTTGTTCTTTAGACTGAAATGTTTATTACTGTGCTTAATCAGAAGGTTTAGTCCTTTCCTAATATCAGCTGATTAAAAAAGTTTTACCCAATTGCAGTTTGAAACACCTCTAGAAGATCAACTGCTAAAGCATCTAAACTGCAATTGGGTGAAATAATTATAGCAGTTGGTATTGCAAAAGGACAAAGCCTTAAGATTAAGCACAGTAATTGTAGGTCTTATTTAAATTATAAAACAATTTGATTAAATTCCAGATCATGTACGACGCTTCGATTACAAGGAAACACTCTGTTTTACAATCAATTACAAGGAAACGCTAAGTTCTACTATCGATTACAAGGAAACACTCAGTTCTACTATTGATTACAAGGAAACACTCAGTTTTACTATCGATTACAAGGAAACATTCAGTTCTACTATCGATTACAAGGAAACACTCAGTTTTACTATAATCTGTTTAAAACAATTTTTGGGATCCTCTGGATTTATCATAATAATATACACCTTTAAAAATTTGTAGGCAGGAATTTCAATGGAGTTTGTAATAATTACCACAACATAAAGTTAAATGGAGTGTTGTCAGATCTTTGTAAGCAAATCATCTGTATTTTAATCAAATTGATTATAAAAAGTCCTAGAACTCAGAATCAACAAATCAGAAAGACATCAAAATCAGATAGGGAAGTGTGAATGTTGTCATATGTTACGTCATTCAGTGATAGTTTACTTGACAGATGAAGAATTGTCTCTCCCCTATGGTAATATGTTACTTCATTCAGTGATAGTTTACCAGACAGATGAAGAATTGTCTCTCCCCTATGGTCATATGTTATGTCATTCAGTGATAGTTTATCTGACAGATGAAGAATTGTCTCTCCCCTATGGTCATATGTTATGTCATTCAGTGATAGTTTATCTGACAGATGAAGAATTGTCTCTCCCCTATGGTCATATGTTACGTCATTCAGTGAAAGTTTACCTGACAGATGAAGAATTGTCTCTCCCCTATGGTCATGTGTTATGTCATTCAGAGATAGTTTATCTGACCAATGAAGAATTGTCTCTCCCCTATGGTCATATGTTACGTCATTCAGTGATAGTTTACCTGACAGATGAAGAATTGTCTCTCCCCTATGGTCATATGTTACGTCATTCAGTGATAGTTAATCTGACCGATGAAGAATTGTCTCTCCCCTATGGTCATATGTTACGTCATTCAGTGATAGTTTACCTGACAGATGAAGAATTGTCTCTATCTCCTATGGTCATATTTTATGTCATTCAGTGATAGTTTATCTGACCGATGAAGAATTGTCTCTCCCCTATGGTCATATGTTATGTCATTCAGTGATAGTTTATCTGACAGATGAAGAATTGTCTCTCCCCTATGGTCATATGTTATGTCATTCAGTGATAGTTTATCTGACAGATGAGGAATTGTCTCTCCCCTATGGTCATATGGTATGTCATTCAGTGATAGTTTATCTGACAGATGAAGAATTGTCTCTCCCCTATGGTCATATTTATGACAAAACAAGCCAATTGGAAACAACTGATATGCAATCTGCTATTTCCTAATTAAGTCATATACTTTGATTACCTTGCAGTCTTGGAATTTTCACAAGTTTTTTCTACTTCCAATGGCCATAATTAGGCCAAAACAAATCAATTGAACAAATCTCATTTGCTGGTGGTAACTTTTCATGAACTATTTGGTCAGTATCTTCAAGGCTGTTGGTGTTGAATTTGGTCATCCAAAGTAAGACAATTAGAACCAAACCCAAAATTTTACAACTTTATACAAAATATCAGTAAGATATATTTACTAAGACAGCCCTTTAATTTCTGCTCCCATGTTTTCTGACTAGTTAAGGAAGACATGTAGGTCTAGGATGATATATAGAATCATCAGATTAGAAACAAAACATCCCTTAATGATTGGTCAAGATTGGTTTCAGTGACATTTGCATGAAAATAGATTAAAAAAACCTCCCAATGACCCTTTTGATAAGGTTAACTAAAAGGAAGCAAGGAGCTTAGAAAATACATAAGAATAGATTTCACTGTTAATGGCAAATCAAATTACTGCAGTTTTTTTAATCAGTGTAGATAATTCTTTTATATTACCAATTCTTTTTTTTATTACCACATAAACATTCCTAACAAGCAAGATAAACTTTCTCTGAAACAACATAAAATTGTTAAAATTAAAGAAATACACAGCAGTTGAATGTTTTTATGTTGATTTTATTTGTTCTCCTGAATTATAGATTAAAAAGTAACAAGAAGTATGCTGTAATTGTCAAATAAGGTTTCATGTTAATCAATACCAGACAAGATAATATAGTGCTGTGATTCTTATTACCAACCAGAAAGTCTTTTTTTATAATCTTATAACAGTGAAATCATAACATCCTATAATACAGATGGCAAAAGCCTAACAAACTTTAATTCTAAGCCATTCATTAATTCGTTTTTGGTATTTAACACCACTTTCATCAATATTGGCTATATCGTGATGATCAGTTTTACTGATGAAGGAAGCCAGAGTGCTTGATGAGAACCAGACCCTTCAGCTGGAAAACTGACAATCCTAGTCAATACAGTCATATGAACCTGCAACATGTGGTGTTGGAAATCACAACATCAGTGTTGACAGGCTTGTGATATAGTTGAACCTCTTAGACCATTTCGCCACAGAGGCCCCTTAATTAAATTGGTCTTAATGATGGTGTTTAACTCTAATCTTAATTGACTGGGATTGTCAGTTTTCCTACAAAAATTGCTGGTTCTCTCCAGGCACTTCGGCTTCCACCACCAATAAAAACTGACCAGCAGAAAATAGCCAATAGCGCTGAAAGTGACGTTAAACACCAATCAATCAATCTAAATAAAAAACTATTACAATTTATGTATAGTGATCTTTTAAAGGGTGTTGGTATTCCTGGAAAGTAATGAACACCTACCATGATTCTGGTACTCTTGATGACAGAAAATCAGCATGGTGAAAACCTGAAATAATAAAAGTATATCTCAAAACATAACTTTTCATTTTATATAAAAACAAAGATTTTTTTTATCAACTGAATCATTACAAAAATAAACAGTAGATTTCAAATCAAAATTAATATCAAGCTATTTAGCTGAGGAACTAATACCGTTACATACAGTAGTATCTATATCAAGTCCATCTGACTGTGGAACTATATAAAAATAAGAAGATGTGATATGATTGCCAAAGGGACAATTATCCACCAGAGACCAAATGACATAAATATAAGCAACTATTGATCATGGCCTTCAATGATGAGCTATGCATACTATCATAGATATAAGATGTGGTATGAGTGCCAATGAGACAACTCTACATCCAAGTCACAATTTGTAAAAGTAAACCATCTATATTTGAGCAAACTATAACTGTTCACTAAGCAAAACTCAATGGACAGGACCATCTGCATACAACAATCTAATATTGTGTTAAGTTTAAAATATAAACTGTGCAACAGGAGCTGTTATAACAAATCTTAGGACGGATATTAAAATGAGTCAAAATTTGTATGGTCAAAGGAATAGAATATTGTAAAAACAAGGAATTATTTGAATCTGGAATAATTTTGAAATCTGGATAATTGATAAGAAATGTATGATGAAAACTAGTCTAACTAAAGAGGGTTAGCCATACTTTCATGGCTAAGGTTAATGTTACTTTAACTGATATTTCAGAATGAACTAACTAACCTCCCTTAGCCAAACATGCATGGTTAACCCTCCTAAATTGGGTTAGTTATCATCATACATTAATTTCTTATCAATTTTCCAAAATTCATCATTATTCCAGGTTCAAATAATTCCTTGTTTAAAGAGAAAAAAATTATCATTGCAACATAAATGTCACAAAAATTTCTTACATGGTCATAACATTTAAGAATATGATATATATTCAATAAATAGGAAGTTATGTCATAGCCATGAATGTGAATTATTATATCATATGTACCCCTTAAACAAGATCAACGTCATAGCCATGAATGTGAATTATCATATCATATGTACCCCTTAAACAAGATCAATGTCATAGCCATGAATGTGAATTATTATATCATATGTACCCCTTAAACAAGATCAACATCATAGCCATGAATGTGAATTATCATATCATATGTACCCCTTAAACAAGATCAACGTCATAGCCATGAATGTGAATTATCATATCATATGTACCCCTTAAACAAGATCAATGTCATAGCCATGAATGTGAATTATTATATCATATGTACCCCTTAAACAAGATCAATGTCATAGCCATGAATGTCAATTACTATATCATATGTACCCCTTAAACAAGATCAATGTCAAAGCCATGAATGTCAATTACTATATCATATGTACCCCATAAACAAGATCAATGTCATAGCCATGAATGTGAATTATTATATCATATGTATCCCTTAAACAAGATCAATGTCATAGCCATGAATGTCAATTACTATATCATATGTACCCCTTAAACAAGATCAATGTCATAGCCATGAATGTGAATTATTATATCATATGTACCCCTTAAACAAGATCAATGTCATAGCCATGAATGTGAATTCTCATATCATATGTACCCCTTAAACAAGATCAATGTCATAGCCATGAATGTCAATTACTCTATCATATGTACCCCTTAAACAAGATCAATGTCATAGCCATGCATGTGAATTATTATATCATATGTATCCCTTAAACAAGATCAATGTCATAGCCATGAATGTGAATTATCATATCTTATGTACCCCTTAAACAAGATCAAAGTCATAGCCATGAATGTGAATTCTCATATCATATGTACCCCTTAAACAAGATCAATGTCATAGCCATGAATGTCAATTACTCTATCATATGTACCCCTTAAACAAGATCAATGTCATAGCCATGCATGTGAATTATTATATCATATGTATCCCTTAAACAAGATCAATGTCATAGCCATGAATGTGAATTATCATATCTTATGTACCCCTTAAACAAGATCAATGTCATAGCCATGAATGTGAATTCTCATATCATATGTACCCCTTAAACAAGATCAATGTCATAGCCATGAATGTCAATTACTCTATCATATGTACCCCTTAAACAAGATCAATGTCATAGCCATGCATGTGAATTATTATATCATATGTACCCCATAAACAAGATCAATGTCATAGCCATGAATGTGAATTATCATATCTTATGTACCCCTTAAACAAGATCAAAGTCATAGCCATGAAAGTCAATTACTATATCATATGTACCCCTTAAACAAGATCAACGTCATAGCCATGAATGTGAATTATTATACATGTATCATATGTACCCCTTAAACAAGATCAATGTCATAGCCATGAATGTCAATTACTATATCATATGTACCCCTTAAACAAGATCAATGTCATTGCCATGAGTGTCAATTACTATATCATATGTACCCCTTAAACAAGATCAATGTCATAGCCATGAATGTGAATTACTATATCATATGTACCCCCTTAAACAAGATCAATGTCATAGCCATGAATGTGAATCATTATATCATATGTACCCCTTAAACAAGATCAAAGTCATAGCCATGAATGTGAATTATTATATCATATGTACCCCTTAAACAAGATCAATGTCATAGCCATGAATGTGAATTATCATATCTTATGTACCCCTTAAACAAGATCAAAGTCATAGCCATGAATGTCAATTACTACATCATATGTACCCCTTAAACAAGATCAATGTCATAGCCATGAATGTCAATTACTATATCATATGTACCCCTTAAACAAGATCAATGTCATAGCCATGAATGTCAATTACTATATCATATGTACCCCTTAAACAAGATCAACGTCATAGCCATGAATGTGAATTATTATATCACATGTACCCCTTAAACAAGATCAATGTCATAGCCATGAATGTGAATCACTATATCATATGTACCCCTTAAACAAGATCAATGTTTTATAAGCTTATCCTCAGGTAGTGTTTTACAGCTGTATAGTTTCATCAATATTCATCCAGCTGTTTAGGAGGAGCTGTGCTTATATTACCACATGTTTGCAAGAAGTAATTAAATTCAATTATCTCCCTTTTATCACTTAGGTCCAGAATTATATTAGTTTCATCTATATGGTTGAATACTAAATACTCCCAAATTAACTCTGTTCTAAGGATTAAGTGTATTTAGAAATTGAAATAAAAATATCATTAACATAAACATTGTTATTCTTCAGAGAAATATATGCATTTGTCATATGAATTACTGAAGGCAAATTGGTGTCAAACTATAAAATTTGTCTTGCAAATTCCCCCAAGAACAGCTTAGAAAAGCGATATCTGTTACTACAGAATTTTTTCATAAATATTTATGTATTGTAAATATGAACTTTTAACTTTTTCCTTTCCTGGTGGTGCTAAAATACTTATACTTTGGTTATTAATGCAAATAAATCTACGTCTGTCTAATCTATTACTGCATAAATAGGTTTTTCTGTAAGCCTGATTATTTCACTTTTATTGTATTGTGAATAAATTGTTCTGAATTTGATATAGGAGGCTTGAAATAAAATTCATGCTATGGAAATTGTAGAAGTGAGATAAGAAAACATTCTCATTACATCCTATTACCAAGCATATCTGAACAGAAAACGTTCTGATTACATCCTATTACCAAGCACATCTGAACAAGATATCAATTTTCCTTTTGTCTATGGAGTACACTTGATATTTCTACTGAAGAGCAATAAATTTGACGGATTAAGAGCTATACTACTGTTCGACAAACATAAACAGCCAAGGGTTTTAATAGTGACAAATAACACTTTTAAGACTGAAGTTTATATTTCAAATTACAGAGGGCATTTCATTTGGCATATGTATCAAAAGGAAAACAGAGTATATGTCAATGTGGGCTAATGTGTAATTGATATATATAGCAACTCTAAAACATTTCTAAAGAAGAAAACACATCCAGAAGCAAACTACAAAGTGTATTTAAACAATAAACAAGTGTCTATACCATATGTCAAGCTCTAAAAAGCTCTGAGCTAGGCTAGAAAAGTGGTGAATAAAGTTGACAAATTAAAGACCAGCAAAGATCTGCTATCAACATCTAATGCTTTGAAGAGAAGAATCAGTAATATATTAGACAACCACAGACAAGCTTCTTCAGTTAGGATAGGTACAATTTAATAATTGACCTAAATAACTGTCAAATTTCAATTTTTTTGTGAATAGTAGTCCTAGGAAAGGAATCTTCTAGTATTTCTGACTGCAAGTATTTATAATGTTTTGTCATGTTCATCATAGTTTCAAGATGATACATGGTCATTCAAAGCTAGGTTGTAATAATGTAGTCAAAGACAATAGAAAATATTACATGTGCTTCCCTTTATAAAATGTATGTACAGGATACAAACATTAAACATTGTTGGTGATAAAAACATTGGTTCCATAGTGGCATTTAATACTGTGGATTCATTTTTAAATTTCGTGGGTACCAATTTTTTTTTGGATTGAGTAAAACTTGGATTTTCATGGATATTTGATTTCGTGGTTTTGCCAATTGCTGCATATAAAACTAGAGAAAAATTCTTGATTATTTAAATTCGTGGTTCTCCTGTACCCTTGAAAATTGGTGTCCCACCAAAAATAATGAATCAACAGTAAATCAGTAGGTGTAAGGACAATGGCAAAGTTATGCACATGTATTTAGACTATGGCAATGCTACTCACATGTGTTAAGCCTATGACAAAGTTATTAACATGTGTTGAGACTATGGCAAATTTACCCACATGTGTTAGGACTATGACAAAGTTATCTATATATATATATATATATACAAGTCTAAATTGAAAACAACGTTCAAACCTATGATTGCGTTGGATAAAAACCGCAATTTTTACACGTGTGCATGCAAAAACAAATTTTTTGTTAGAGGGGTCTAAATACAGCACAAACATTTTTCAAAAGACCAAAAAAGTGAAAAAGTATATTTTAACAAAACGCATTTGACTAACAGGTCGAACAACAAATGTTCTTAAACCCTGCTGACTGCCATTGGCCATTGCCAAATAAACGGATCACAAGGTGTAATAAATGGATCTTAATTAAAAATTTAATACCAAACAGAAAACAATAAACTTGCGGCAAAGATGGTATACCGCAAACAAAGGTGCAAAGATTTTTGTACACCATATCCGGATTTCGACAATTAATGTCTCTTCAGTGATGTTAGGATATATATATATATAATGTAGAAAGTCTTATAACAACAACACTGGAGGGACTGCTGCAGAAAATTTATTGATCGACATGTTTCGGTGCCTAGGGCACCGTCATCAGGATACAAATAATACATTGAACATACTTAAGTGTACAATCGGGTTGTCTTGTGACAACGTCATAGTATAGTAGTTGTTATGAAAGGGAAGTAATAGTGAAAGTATAAATAGAAAATGTATATAAATAGATTGTCAACATGAAAATGAAAGTAAATTAAAATTGTTTGTATATCAACTCTGTGTTATTATTGTCTCAGCTAAAAATGTTATAAATAGAATGTACAAACACATGTCTGTCCCATAGTTCTTCCGGTAGCTCATCTAAACATATGGTTTCATCACTGCTGCTTGTTGTCAGGTCTATGTAGTCTTCCTGAGTAAGGTCCATGACATAACCGTAATCGTTTGTTATGTATTGCGGAGTGTTATTTAAAGAAGAGTCGGAATCCGACAGGTACAGGTCTTGTTCCAAATCACTTGTTGAGGGTTTTTTCGGTTTTAAGGTGGATGATTGGTGATACTCATACGGTGATTTAGCTGGTATTGTCCTGAATGTAGGTGTTTTCCCGTTCCATTCTTTTTTCTGTACGGCTTCAAATGGTGGTCTCCATTTTTCTATTGCTTTGGCCATTTCACGAGGATTTTGTTAGAAGCTATTATAATCTTCTCTGGCTTTATCTGGGTGTTTTGATTTAAGGTGTGTTACGGCATTTGATTTTCTAGTGAAGGTTGCAACACAATGTTTGCATTCAAACATTGTTGCGACTGGTTCGTGGCGTTCCTTATGGTGTCTTCGTAAAGTAGAAATACTGCAGAAAGTTTTCGGGCATTTTTTGCAATTAAATCGTCTTGTGAAAGTTCCTGTAGTTTCTTTTCTTTTGGTAATCTTCGTATTAGCCATATCGTCTGTTAAGGCCCCAGGGTTTGGTGCTTCCAAATTTATGTATAAGAGCTTCTTCCGTTCTTAGTCTGACGTTTATGTTTTGTTCTGTGGTTGTTATGCCTGTTATGGTGACGTCGTGTTTATTGTGACCATTTGAGGTGAAGTGTTTCGAGACTGGTTTTGTATTATTCTCAGTGTTGATGTCCTGTAGATGTCCCCTGAATCTTTCTTTTAGGCTATTTCCCGTTTGACCAATGTATTGTTTTTTGCATTGTTTGCATTCTATTAAATACACCACACTTTCTGTGTTGCATGTAATTTCGTGTTTAATATCTATTTGGTAACTGTTTACGGTACTTTTTGCACTTTCTGCGGTTTTCATTAATCTACAGAGATAGCAATTCAAAAAATGCCCGAAAACTTTCTGCAGTATTTCTACTTTACGAAGACACCATAAGGAACGCCACGAACCAGTCGCAACAATGTTTGAATGCAAACATTGTGTTGCAACCTTCACTAGAAAATCAAATGCCGTAACACACCTTAAATCAAAACACCCAGATAAAGCCAGAGAAGATTATAATAGCTTCTAACAAAATCCTCGTGAAATGGCCAAAGCAATAGAAAAATGGAGACCACCATTTGAAGCCGTACAGAAAAAAGAATGGAACGGGAAAACACCTACATTCAGGACAATACCAGCTAAATCACCGTATGAGTATCACCAATCATCCACCTTAAAACCGAAAAAACCCTCAACAAGTGATTTGGAACAAGACCTGTACCTGTCGGATTCCGACTCTTCTTTAAATAACACTCCGCAATACATAACAAACGATTACGGTTATGTCATGGACCTTACTCAGGAAGACTACATAGACCTGACAACAAGCAGCAGTGATGAAACCATATGTTTAGATGAGCTACCGGAAGAACTATGGGACAGACATGTGTTTGTACATTCTATTTATAACATTTTTAGCTGAGACAATAATAACACAGAGTTGATATACAAACAATTTTAATTTACTTTCATTTTCATGTTGACAATCTATTTATATACATTTTCTATTTATACTTTCACTATTACTTCCCTTTCATAACAACTACTATACTATGACGTTGTCACAAGACAACCCGATTGTACACTTAAGTATGTTCAATGTATTATTTGTATCCTGATGACGGTGCCCTAGGCACCGAAACATGTCGATCAATAAATTTTCTGCAGCAGTCCCTCCAGTGTTGTTGTTATAAGACTTTCTACATTATTGTGTTTCATCATAACGACCCTGCATACCCGAGGTATCCACTTCAGGGACTCTAACTCACTACAGACTCACCAGGCGTTGGTTCACTTTCGTTTGTAAAAATATATATATATAAGTTACCCATATGTGTTAAGACAAAGGTAAAGATATCTATGTTAAGAAAAAGAACCAGGAAATACTACATTCTTCTTTCTGAAAAAGAATTCTAAACAATCTACATTATATACTTGCCTAACTTGGATATTCCTGCAGCAAACAGAAAGACCGTAATCAACAATGGCTGTGCCACATGGTCGTAATTTATACTGAATAAATGTATTCCATGTCCAGCCCCATGTCCTGTGTGTGAGTCCTTGTGTCCTGTTTTGTTTCCATGCTCATGACTTTTGTTGTCATGTGACGTTTGATTATGAGGATCATAAACCATGTGACCGTTAGACTTTGTATCATTGTTTTGATTGAGTGTTGTGTGGACAACTGAGGTGGCAGCATGGTCATAACACAGTAGTATCAAAAGACAAAACCCTTTCATACTTCTTCCTCACAAACAATCAAAATTTGTAAAGATTTTTATGACATTGTTCTGGCATCCAATCAAAGTAAGCAAATGGTTTGTAACATGTAATAATCTCTTCCATTTAACATCAATCAGAATGTAATCTGATGAAGATGGCAATTCTGGGTAGAAGAGTTACATTATCTTCTGTTAAATTCAGGTGTTTGACCTTCGATATTACTTTTCTTGACATTCAGGAAGCATCAAACTACTAATATGCTGGTTCCATTTAAGTTATTGTGTCAGTAATTAGTGACACAAACTAAAATAGACTCTGTCAGTAAGCATATGTTTCGTGGTATAAACTGTGAGGTTTTCTGTGGAAATTATTTCATCCTCTTCTATAAACATCCTGAAAAAAAAATTAAAGTAATCTAATAGAATGAATATATATAGAACATACATTTTATCAAAGTTCTCAATACATTTTAGAAATCTAATCTTGAGAAGAAGACATTAATATTTTTGAAATACTAGGTCAAATTTATAATACTGTCTGTGTCACCCCACTACACGTTTTAAGATCTGTATTTAAAAGTTATTTAAGCATTATCATTTCAGACTATAAAGACACAATTTTTTTTTCTTATTCAACAACAAATTGCACTCTGGCTGTTAACAATGTTCTTCACTTCATAAAGACACAATAATATCTAATAGTAAACAATGCAAGTCATTTTGATTTCCAATTAATGAAATTGATTTGCAACTATAATAAAGTATAACAGATAAGCTATAACAGTTTCACAAAATGTATCCTGAACTTCTAAACATAAATCCAACAATGCAGAAATGATCAAAAAGTCATCAAAACGAATATTGCACCGTACATATCTTCAATATAACTGCACTCCACGTAAATTACGAATACTTAAATTACACAATGTGTCAATCAAAAGAACAAAAATAAAGGTAATAATGATCGGAAGTGACTATGTGCTGATACTGATATCTGACATTGCTAGACCGTCTAATTGTATGTCTGATAATTACAAAAATCAGCTTCCACCACATTTCTATTCCAGGAATTCATTCTACAATTTGTCACAAAAACTTGAAGATCAATTTTAGTAAAACATCCCACTTCTGTATACTCATTAACACTTATTTCAGGTAGTACAAATCACAACTTAAAGTAATAAGTCATACCAATCAAACGCACCTTCATAGTATTAGCTATCTTGTTCTGTACTTTTCCAAATGAGTTGACGCAATATCGAATGTCATTTAGTTTTTGTCTGTAGATTAATTTCCCTACGCTTTGTATAATATTTTACAAAAAAACATTCACCTTTTGTATTGTTTGAACAATTACAAATAATTGATTTTTTTTTACATATAAAAAAAGAAAGAAACTTCCGTGTATCAAACAAAGGCTTCTCAATATCTACTTAATCTTCAAAAATTCAAAACACAAGGAAATAATAAGTTAAATAATTGTATGTTAAAGAACAGTAGAGAACATTTTTTTCGATTAAAAGGAGTTTAATAAAATATAGTAATGCTTAATGTGGACAAATGGGCAATTTATTATGGCCTTGTTTCTTCCTGTCTAAGTCATAAAATACTGTCTAATTAAGTAATAAACTCTATAGAAATAACCTAATCTACATACATCTTTGAAATAAATAAGTGCATGTTATTTAGCAACTCTGTAAAGCAATCTCAACTGGATTTTCCAATGAAATATTTTGAAAATAATAAAAGAACAGAGTTCCAATGTCCTCTTGTTGCTCATATTTTATCTGTTCAAGGGCAAAAAAACTAATTTTATCTGTTCAAGGGCAAAAACTAAAAAAGATATTTATTTTTGGTCTTTAAAACTTTTTGTAAGTAAAAAATCGTCACTAAATGCTGATAACTCCTATTATAGTTCATCCAATGATTTCCCTTTCTTGCAGTTTCATAGATCTTGCAATGCTGATAATTTTTGTTGTTTATACAACTATCTGTTTTATTTTTTCAAGATATTAGACAAAGGGCAATTTCAACTCCTAATATAATAAAAAAAATAACAAAGAAACCCCAAAATTGGTTGAAATCAACTGTTCAAGGGCAACAACTCATATAAGGGGTTAATTTACAATTTCTGCCATGATGACTTATTTGTAGATCTGTTTTTTATTAACATGTTTTCTATTTACAATTTCACTTTATCTGCTACAATTTCTGCAAAAAATGCAAAAACTGGTAAACATCATCTTTCAAAAGCAATAACTTCTAAACGAGGTCAATTGACATTTTTGGTCATTTGACTCATTAGTAGATCGATCTTATTTTGTTGGAACATTTTCACTACTTAAAGATTCTTTCTGTTTACTATAGTTTTCCCTCAAAAATGCATAAAAAGATAAATATCATCCTTCCAGGATAATAACTCCTATAAGGGGTCAATTAACTATTTCGATCATGTTGAATTATTTATAGATCTTATTGTTTTGGTCATTTTTAAATAATAGTTTCAATAAAAATAAAAAAAAACTGTAAAAATTACTAAAGCAAAAAATTGACATTTCAGGGGCAATAACTCCAAAATCGGCTGTCTGATTTTCTGAAAATTTCACAAGAGATAGAGCTTGACCTGCTTATCATTTATATCTCATCAATTATGCTCTACCTGCTTTAGTTTTTGAGTTATAAGTCAAACTGCAGTTTTACCTACCAGTATATGTTCTATTGTAGCAATATTGGCCATGTTTGATTAAGAATCAAATCCCTGGATATAAATTTCAAACTAAATTCCCCCAAAATCATTCAGGTAAAGTTTGGTAACTTAGGGCAAGTGTTTTCAGAGGAGATGATTTAAAAAAAAAAGCTGACAAACAGGAGGCCCAGTGATGGCAAAAATTCACATGGCCTTTAAGTTCAAGGTGAGCTTAAAACAATAATGAGCAAGTATATATGAAATTTCTACAGGCAAACAAATGTGGTCCTTCTACTGGGAAACTATATATGTTGTACTTCTCCTGGGCAAGAATATGTGGTACTTCTTCTGGGCAAGTATATGTGGTACTTTTACTAGTCAGATTCTTAGGCCCGAGAACACAGTTATTTCTTAGTGCATTTCTTTTAGACAATAAATTTAAATTAAAAAAATGGCACCTGCCCCATCTCAATAAGATTTTTACAGTGTAGTGTACTACTATTAGGACAAATAATATCAAAATTATAGAAAAGTCTACCAGCTCTAACGTTAACTCAAAATATTGACAATTCTATGTTAAGACTATGTTAAGGGGGTCTAAAATTTAGTTTGACAGCTTCAGACATACTAGTTTTTGACCTTTTTTAACTGAACCAAATCACTACTTAACATAAAGATTCAGCACCCAAATTTTTTTTAACATGTAATTTCGTCCCCTTACTTAATATTTCATGCATAAAATATAAAGAAATAAATTTGAAAACTGTATGAAAAAAATTGCAAGTTATACACTGTTCGCACTAGGGACTATATTTGTAGACAACGAAAATCTAAGGACGATAACTGTGTCCTCAGACCTAATAGTATAAAAAGACTTGACCAATTCTCATAAAACTTTGCATGGCCTAAGCTTAGGGAATTATAAGATAGTTGGCTAAGTCTCATGGCATAGGATATATATTACAGAAACTATGGCTATTTTAGTATTGATATTTGGATGTTTAATTTTGATGATAAAATCAAATAATTTCAACTATCAAGATTTGGGCTTAAAAAATTTAAATATTACAAAAATTTGCTTTTTAAATGCTCTTAAATATAATATATTAAGAATTTAAAGCACCTGAACACTCATTTGATTTATCAGATTTATTACAATTATTCAAAAGTCAAATTTATATGAGCCTGTGCCTGAAAAATAGAGATTTTCGAATTAAGGGGAGCTTTACATAAACATGCATTTTTTTCAACCAATTTGAAGTTTTTGAAGTTTTTTTAACAAAAATTCGTAAGGGTTCCGCGGAACCCAGTGTCTCGCCTACTTTTTGCTGTTAATCACAGGCTCAGCAAAAATGAGGAAAAAATTAATAAAAATATTCCTCTCTATACTATCTTTTGATTGTAAGTAGCTTCTGTCCAAGTTTGGTAAAAATCCAGGATAGTTTATGAATCTAATAAATGTTTTAAAAACTTAAACTGCAGACTGTATGTAATGTTAACTGGAAGAAAAACTAAGTCCATTTATAAGTAAAATACGGAAAAAATGGAACAAAATTTCCTTCTAGATACTAGCTTTTAATCATAAACAAGCTTCTGTCCAAGTTTGGTACAAATCCAGGATAGTTTAAGAAAGTTGTTTAAATTTTAAAAACTTTAACCACAGAGCGAATGTAATGTTAACTGGCAGAAAAACTAAGTCCATTTATAAGTAAAATACGGAAAAAATGGAATTTTTTTTTACAAAATTTACTTCTGGATACTAGCTTTTAATCATAAACAAGCTTCTGTCCAAGTTTGGTACAAATCCAGGATAGTTTAAGAAAGTTGTTAAAATTTTAAAAACTTTAACCACAGAGTGAATGTAATGTTAACTGGCAGAAAAACTAAGTCCATTTATAAGTAAAATACGGAAAAAATGGAATTTTTTTTTTACAAAATTTACTTCTGGATACTATCTTATGATCATAAACAAGCTCTTTCCAAGTTTGGTAGAAATCCAGGATAGTTTAAGAAAGTTATTAAAATTTCAAAAACTTTAACCACAGAGTGAATGTAATGTTTCCTGGCAGAAAAACTAAGTCCATTTATAAGTAAAATACGGAAAAAATGGATTTTTTTTTTTACAAAATTTACTTTTGAATATTATCTTATGATCATAAACAAGCTTCTGTCCAAGTTTGGTAGAAATCCAGGATAGTTTAAGAAAGTTATTAAAATTTGAAAAACTTTAACCACAGAGTGAATATTTGTGGACGCCGCCGACAACAACGACGACGCCGCCGACAGAATGTAGGATCGCTATGTCTCGCTTTTTCGACAAAAGTCGAAGGCTCGACAAAAACTATTCTACCATACATATTAAATGTACTTTAAATGGAAAGAAAAGTTACAAAAAGCATACCACATGAGTATAAAATGGTCTTAGGCCATGTAAGACTAAACATTATTTAGAGTCAATTTAGGCTGTAGCACATATAAAAATGCATACATAAACTATCAGAAATGGAAATTTGTTACTTTTTGCTCATTTCTATGCTAAGATGTCATGATACAAGAAGTCTAATTGCAAAAGGACTCTTGCATTCAACTTTTTTTGCAGACAGTATGGTCTGATGCACAGTTTTTTCACTTTTCAATGGAAAACTTGCATGTAGTTTTAGTCTCAACTGGCATATATTTGAACCACATACTATCCTACAGAAGAAAAT